GGGAGGGCGACCTCTAGTGGGCTGGCCTTTTCAAAGAGCACAAATTGATTTCACTGAATTACCAGAGGAGGGGGGGGGGGTTGGAAATACTTGCTTGTGAACTTATCTTTGTCACTGCTCAGAATCAGAACATGTCCAAGGAAAGACACAGGAGTCTCTCCATTCGGGATGCTACTGGGCGAAAATAGGGAATCCAATTCCTGAATTTAAAGATTTATTTTTGAGAAAATATTTGCAGGTACTGTCCAGGTTTTTGCTTTCTCTCTATAAACAGAGACTGTTGGTGCAACCACCACCTCTTGCTGGGAGCCAACATCCCTTTGAGACTGGAGATTGGGTTCTGACAAAGACTTGGAAAGGCGAGAAGCTGCAGCCTAGCTGGGAAGGCCCGTACCAGGTGTGTTGACAACTGAATCTGCAGTTCGCACTCGGGAAGGAGGCTGGACACATTACAGCAGAGTCAAAAGGGCACCGGAACCTGAAAAACCTTGGAGGGCAGTTCCAGTGGATGGTCAGCCGCTGAAGCTCACCTTGAAAAGATGAAGAAGTCTGAACCCTGGACTGAGCTAATTGTCTTTATTCTAGGACTAGGACTGGGAACTTCCTGGGGAAGCGAGGATTCACATCAACCCCAGAATGTTACTTGGGTTGTACTTGATTCCCATTCAGATATAATCAATTGGACTAGTGGAAAGAGGCCTCCCAATACTTGGTTTCCAGAACTGCAATTTGATTTGGGAAGGGTCCTCTTGTCCACCACCGATGACACGTTCATAAAGAAACATCATTTTTACGTCTGCCCTGGACATAAAACTGAAAGAAGCTACAAAAAGACTTGTGGAGGGGCTGATCAGTTTTATTGTGCAGCCTGGAGTTGTGTGTCTACGGGACACATCTGGTGGGACCCTCTGTTCAAAGGTGATCTGATACAGATCATTCTGGGATAGTACAGGACTCCATGAAAAAACTGAGGGAAGGACTGAACCAAAGAAAAAGAGAAAGGGATGGCCGCCCTAATCTCCACTCTAATAGGATCCTTAATTTTGTTATTATTAATCTTCACCTTTGGTCCATGTATTTTGAACAAATTAATGTGAGTTTGAGTCAAAGATGGAACAAGAACAGGGGGGATTGTGGGAAGTGTATTCATTTTATGACTCAAAGCTCATGATGAAAAAGGGATGTTTCCTTTTGAAGTGAGAAAAGGCAGTACCAAGCACTGATTAGAACTGATCTTGGAATGTTTTTGAAGTGCTGGGAACTATCACACATTTTGGAATGCTTTTGAAATGCTAGATACCGGATAAAGAAGTGTCTGTTACGAGCTAGGTACCATGAAAGATAATAAAATGTAACTTGTATCCTGAAAGATAGATTGTAAATCAAGCCATTTGTATACTGGGGGGGGGGAGTATTAGGGGGTAGTTTTGGGTATAAGAGTAGAGCCTTTAAGCTTTGCCTTTCGTTCCTCCCACCTGCCAGGGCAGGAACCCATTTCTGCAGAAATGCTACAATAAAGCCTTTTTCCTTGGATCAACTTTGAATCCTGGTGAATTTTCTTAGCCACAATCTCACACTATCATGTTTTCCCCTAGTTCTTCTTCCCTCTGCTGGTAGATGCTTATTTTCTTCTTTTGGGGAAAAAAATATTATGCTTCCTTTCCCTACAAACTATGGAAATTGGATGGTTAAAAAAAATCAGGATGATGGCTTTATCTTTGTGAGTGTGTTTGTATTTCTGCATTTGTATGCATGCGAAAGAAAAAGAAAGAAAAAGAAATAGGAAGGGAGAGAAAGAGAGAAAACTCTGTGTTATTATTTTTAATTGTTTCTCTTAGCTGTTTTCCTGGAATCCGTAGATATGAAGCAACAAATGGAATGGTTTATAGTAGTTTATTTTCTACGTACAGTAAATCAGCAAGCACGGTAGACCCAAGCAAGATTAGTGCTGGAAGCAACCACCTTCCAGCGCAATTTATCCCCTTACTCTACCCACCTAAACGTTTCTACCTCCGCCCTACACTTGTGTCCCAATTATCCTATTACCCCTAATTTCCCAAACCCCATAGTCCTACATCGTATGTTCACTATCCACGATTCCCAGCTATATTCTTATTTTCCCCACAACAATACTCCTCCCATTCTATCCCCTCCATTAAGCAGTTTAACTGCTTGCCAATTATCCCTTACAGCAGGGATTCCCCCTCGCATTCTTTGCAACTCCTTTCCACTGTTCCTTTCGTTGCCTAAGTCTGTTCCAGATAAACAAGCTGGCTGGCTAGAGTGTTCCCTCCCCCTCTCTTCAGATTAAACTCTCTTCTAAACTATTCAGCCTCTAAACTACTTGGCTGACATTGATGACATTTTTCTTTTGGCGAGACTATCTCTTCTCCCATCTGCCATTACGTTGCTGTCGGGCAAGGATTCCATGGAGCCCTACATTTTCATTATTTATCATGTGTTGATATTTTACACTGTCCCTACACTACATCTAGAGTGATTTTACTGCTTTTCTTTTGCCCAGGGATACCACATATTTTTCAATTTCTAGTGCAGAGCATAAATATGTGTGTGTTTATTTTGTACATCAGGTTGCATAAGTCCAGCTTAATATGCTATTCCTGATATGTGATATTTTGTATACATACAGAGAAAGAAGCACTCTTGTGATCTTTGACATAAGCTTGCTGTCAAACATCAGCAATAATAATTACTGTTTTGAACAATATGCAGGTTGTATTACACGAATGGCTATTTTATATGTGAAATTATGAAATGAATTTGAGTAGAGATCCTGAGAAAGTGTCAGAATAACAGAATAATACTTAGAGGGACCTTGGGGAACCCTATACCATTTCAGAGAAATGGCTGTCCAGTCTTTTCTGAAAAACTTCCAGTGATTGAGCACCCAGAACTTCCAGAGACAAGCAGGTCCACTGGTTAATTGGTATCACTGTCAGGAAGTTTCTCTTTAGTTTTAGGTTGCTTCTCTCTTTGTTCAGTTTACATCCATTGCTTCTTGTTTGCGTTCTGCTTCTTTGGAAAATATATTGCCCCCACTTCTTTGTGACAGTCCTTAAAAGCCTGTTGCCTATCACACTCTTGGTCAAAGCATGTGAGCCATTTCTTACTTTCAGTGATCCATGAAAGTACATCTATAGTATGTAGATAATAAAGTCAAAAAAAGGTGAATTAAATTTTTACAGAACTATAGATATGTTGAGGCTGGGTATGATAAGGAATGGCTGGGATGGGAGGGGCCAGGCAAGGCACCCCTTGACGTGAATGACATTGAGTTGGCCATGCCCACCCATCACATGACCAGGCATGCCCACCCAGTCACATGACCACCAAGCCACACCCACCAAATAAGACACACCCACAGAACCGGTAGTAAAAAAATTTGAATCACACCACTGGGCAGGAGATGGGGAAAGTAGTGGATAATAGTAGTAGTATTGTGATATATTAGTAATAGTATCATGATAGATGCTACATTAAGCAAAGAATAAGAAAAATGAACTCAATAAATGTATTTCCACTATTGTTTTCTCTATTTTTTTCTTCTGTACATATAACCATTCACTCTCCCATTTTCTATTTAATGTCTTAGTTCCAAAAATTCATAACAATGCAGTAGTGTCTACTGAGACATAATAAACATGTTTCTCTCTGATATTTTTCAAACAAAGTTGCAAGTAATATTATTGATTACTCATTAAGTATAGTCCTTGTCCCTTCTTTTCCATGTCACAAGGGCATTCCGGCAGACACTGACAAAACTGTGACCCTAGATTAAAACATTACATTGCATTAATCTCTGCTCAGAAATATAGAACTACATGTAGGGAGAGAGAGAAAAGGATTTGTGTTTGAACTTATATTTCCTTGTCTTAATTCCAGATAAGGTTCATTGTCTTAACTGTAGGTAACATTAATGGGTGGCCAACCTAACTCCTCATCTGAATAATAAAATAGGAGCTTCTGTTTAATATCTACTATGGCAATATATTATACTGAGATGGTTATATTCAGAACATTGATTTTATTCTTTTTTCCTAACATAATATTAATTTCTCCTGCTTGCAACTGCAAACTCAGTGGTCCTCTTCCAATTGCTCACAAGTATTATCAGCCTGGAGACTTAATCATTGCTGCAATTATTTATCAGGTCTTCTTTCTTTCAAATGAGATCACTTTTGAAAGCTTCCCCTCTCGTGAAGTGCTTGATCAGTATTTGTAAGTATCCTTCTACTGCTGCTTCTCCTCCTACATTTCTTTCCTGTAGTATTTTTCTACTGAACCATATCATTTGCCAGTTAGTCAATAATCAACTTCCAATGTCCATATATGGCCATTTTTGATTACAGAACTCACAGAAATACCTCATGTTTTAATAAAGAAGTTCAAATGGAGACAAATTGATTTGACTCATAAAGTAGATGAATCTTTCTTCAGAAAACTTCCTTCAGCAAAGTCCTCTGTTGAAAATAAAAATCTAGAGGTTGTGGATGCCCTCAGGCTAATGCTGATTTCTGCCCCACTGCTTCCTCTCATCCAGAAATAAAGCAGGAAATCCTGAAGTGCATTTGAGATTTTTTTTTTCAGATTTTTAAAATCTAATATTGAAGAAGAATCTAAAATACAGAAGAAAGCAGGCTACAAATGATTTCTTGGTTCATGTTTAGCTTATCTCCCCTTATACAAACCCCATACAATCTAATGCAATTGTTCATTAAGGACGAGGCTCCAAACATCAAAATACATAAGCACTAGATCCATAACATTAAAGATATCAACTTTTTGAATCTGAAGCAGAAATATTTGATGTTATTTGTAACTCTCACTGAAGGTTCCTCACTCATAATTATCAACATGCTTTGGCTCTGGCATTTGCTGTAAAGGAGATCAATGAACGTTCTGGGATTTTGTCCAATGTTAGTTTTGGTTTCCACATCTCTACCAATTATCTTGAGGAATATACAACTTATCGTTTAGCAATGGAATTTTTATCTGCTAAAGATACATTTATCCCCAACTACAAATGTAATGACCAGACCAATACAGTAGCTGTCATTGGAGGACCCCAGACTAAAACCTGTCTCAACATGGCAATCAGCCTGTTCAACTACAAATTTCCCCAGGTGAGAAAAAATGTGGAGCAAGATGGAAAGTTCATGAGCTAGTTATTATTTTCAGATGTTGAGTCCTTATGATAACTGCTATGAGAAAGATTACAGAGGCAAGAAATATTTGTCATGTAATGACAAGAATATCTTTTATGAAGTCTCTTTCTGTATCCCACTCAAACCCAAGTATTGTATTAAGTTAAAAAAATGCATTCTTTCTTTAATTTTTTTAAAAGTCTGTTTCTTTTTTTCCCATGTTCATTCATATTTCCCCAATTAGATCACATATGGATCGGCACCTTTGATGAGTAATGACCAAGCAGGAATTTTTGTCAAATGGATGTTCCCTGATGAGATCCACCAACTGAAAGGAGTGCTACACTTGCTATTGCATTTTGGATGGACCTGGGTTGGGATGATTTCTCTGTTTGAGGAAGATAGGGAGAGGTTTGTTCAAAAGAGCCTTTCCATGTTTTCAGAGAGAGGAATCTGCTTTGACTTTATAGAATGTCTACCTCAAATGATGTATGGTAGTGAAGCTGCTGAAATGGTGGAAAAGGCAGATAAAATATACAAAGTGATCATGTGGAGTACAGTCATTGCAGTGATCTTCAATGCTGAAATTACAAGCATAGTGACATTGACGATGATGCTGTCTGTTTTAGATTCTGATGATATTCCAAAAGAGAGAAAAGCCAAAGTTTGGGTCATGACAGCTCAAATGGAATTCACTTCTATTCTAATGCAAAGACCATTGCCTATTGATTTTCTCCATGGTGCAATTTCCTTTGCACTTCGCTCAAAGAAGCTGACAGGATTTCAACAATTTATGCAGAAGAAAAACCCAAACCTAGAAAAAGATGATGGATTTATTAGGGATTTCTGGAAAGATGCATTTGAATGCTCATTTTCCAGTGATATTACAGATGAGAATGCTGAAAGGATCTGCACTGGAGAAGAAAAGCTGGAGACTCTTCCTAATTCTGTCTTTGAGACCACAATGGGTGGACATAGTTACAGCATCTACAATGCAGTCTATGCTGTGGCACATGCTCTGAGGGACTTGTATGCCTCCAAACTCAAGGACAGTCGGAAAATTGATAAGAAGAGCTGGGAGTACTTCCTTCAGTCACCATGGCAGGTAATGTTTACTAATCCAAATCAGGAAGATCATCAGATCATGTGGCTTATATATTTTTTTCTCTTTTCTTTTGAAAGTGTTTTTATTTATTTATATTTCATAATTCTAAACTGTTCGCCTCCCTCCCTTTACAGATAGTTTTGAATGTTCATGGCATTCCCTTATGCAAAAACTAAAAAAAAAAAATCTATTATCTTTTTCTAATATTATCTGAATAGTCTAGACAAATAGGGGCATTTATGCAAAATTGGATGCAATTTGAAAATAAACTTAAGGTTTTGAAAAAGTCTGAAAAAAACACTGACATATGAACTTTATTTTATGTATGAAATGCTAGGCAAAGTATCATATTCAATTTACTATATTTAACAGTTTCACATGTAAAAACTTTGTCAATGATTAGAATGAAGAAAACTTCAAGATTTCAAGTTAATTTGTTTTCAATTCTATTTTATTTTTTTCCCTAAATAACTGCTGAGGTGGAACAGAAGGCTGTTTTGGCCTAGAAATTTCTATATTGGAGTTTTTAAAAGTGTCTAAATCTTATGCCAGCAAAGTAAATGTATAAATCCTAACATTCCAGGTTGAGCAAAGCAAGTTAATATGTCATTCCGCTTCCTTTTCAATGTTATGCTGGAATTTTCATATAACACCTTTTCAGGTGAAAACAGACAACAGAATAGAAAATCTAAATTACTTTCCTTTGGGTATAAACCATACTGAAGGAACTGAGAGCTCTCCATATGATTCAAGGAATCTAGTTAATACTTATATTTCTTTGTTTTATTTTTTCATTCAGCTCCATCATTTTTTGCAGCAAATCTCTTTTAACAACAGTGCTGGGGAACAGGTTTCTTTTGGCCCCAATGGAGAATTGAAAACTGGATTTGATATTTTCAATTGGGTCATATTTCCAAACAAGTCCTTTCTAAAAGTCCAAATTGGAAAAATTGACCCCCTGGCTCCCAAGGAAAAGCTCCTTACCATTTCTGCCAAGAATGCTGTTTGGCCCTTCATATTTAACCAGGTGTGTTTTATTTTTCACTTTTTAGGAAATCATCTATTCATTGATCCACAGAGGTAAATAATTAAACAACAATCACAATCACAATCAAACTTGGATTTAACAACCTCATTTTTTTTTTGTTTGATGTATATAAACATAAACTACTAAAGTATATATAGGTGGATTAAAGTCGTATAGTGAGGGAATTATCAGAAAATCTTTAATGCAAATCATTAAAGAGAAGGTGTGGTTATAGTCCTGCCACAAGCACAAAGTCAGCTGAATTACTTTGGGCTAGTCATCCTCTCACTCTAGGAAGGAGGAAATAACAAATCACTTCTGGAAAACCTTGCAAAAAAACTTCAAAAACTTCTCCAGGCAGTCTCTCAGAATTGGGCACGATTCAGTGGAAACAAGAAAAAAAAGGGGGGGACAGTTAAGCAAGTGTCCCGTCAACCCAGCAATTTTATGAGGTGTGGATTTCAATTCCCAACTTCAGCATATTGGTTGGGGAAATAACAGAATAACTTGGGAGGTATTCTAGTCCAACCCCCTCTACTCGGGAAACCCTACACCAGTTCAGACAAATGGTTGTACAATCTCTTCTTTAAAATGTCCCATGTTGGAGGATCAAGAATTTCTGGAGGCAAACCGTTCCACCAATTAATTGTTCAAACTATCAGGAAATTTCTCCTTAGTTCTAAGTTGGTTCTCTCCTTAATTAGTTTCTATCCATTGCTTCTTCTTTTTTTTACAAGTTTTATTGGTTTTTAAAGACAAACAAACAAAAAAAAACATAAAAACATCCAGCTTTCTTTCATAAGTGTACAAGCAGTGTGTCGGTTGGTTTACAAATTTTTTGTGCATCCATTTCATAGTCTCAATTACAGTTACATTGCATAATAACTCATATTATCAATCAAAAATTGAATACCCTAGTATCACTATTAAACAATCATTTGACTATAATTGTGTTCATTCATACTTTGCGAGATAACTATAATTTACTTAGTTTATTTTATAACAATTCATATAATCCTCCCAAATCTATCCTAAAAACATTTTATAAATATGATAACAAAAAAAAGAAAAACATCTTTATATATTCATTATTTTCTAAAATTCTAAATATTCTATTATTGTATTTTATTATCTAACCATTGATAGAAAAGGTCCCAAATTTTATAAAATTGTTTATCCTCTTGTTCTCTAATTTCAAATGTCAATCTACTCATTTCAGCACATTCCAATATTTTCTTAATAATTTCCTCCTCTAATGGTATTTTCTAGTTTCTATCCATTGCTTCTTATCCTGCCTTCAGGTGCCTTGGAGAATAGGTTGACCACCTCTTCTTCTTCCAAGATATTGGAAGACTGCTTGCATTTCACCCCAAGTTCTTTTTTTCATTGAACTAGACACAACCAATTTCTGCAAATGTTCTTCATATGTTCTAGCTTCCAATCCCTAATCATCAATGTTGCTCTTCACTTCACTCCTTCTATACTCTCTACACCTTTTTATATTGTGGCAGCCAAAATTGGATGCAATATTCCTAGTATGCTCATTTGAAAGTTCAAACTAAAGAAAATGGGGAAATGGGACACTTAGTTTTGATGAGGATGTGAAAAGTTAGGGTATGTATACCAGATAAAATAAACTCTTCCAACCTGTAAGTTTTTCATGTGAAATGATTCTGATTTTATTCATGAACAGACATTGCCTCTTTCCATCTGTAATGAGAAATGTCCTTTTGGCTACAGCAAGGTAAAAATAGAAGGGAAATTATCCTGCTGCTATGACTGTAGACAGTGTCCAGAAGGGAAGATAGCTGACCAAATGGGTAAGCAAAGCAATATATTGAATATGTGAACAATTTAATAAATATAAATGGGGTTGAATTTTTAATCAGTATTATGGTGTCTGAAAATCTTGAGCTATCTAACAGGTTGTATAGATCAGTGAATTACTTGTTTATAATTCAAAGAGATATTTAATGCGTCAAAGTTCCAAGTAATATGTCCCATTCAATAAGAAGGTCTGGACATAATGTCTATTGAGATTCTCAGTCATCCAAAATAATTTTTATCCGAAACTTCCGGTTTGTCGGCTTCGCGAGCGGCAGGGATTTGCGAAGCTGCGCGATCCCTGCCGCGCTAGCCGTTTTTGGGGCTCCGACCCAGCCGGGTACGGAGCTAGGCTGCCCTGCAGGGGCAGCTGAAGTAGGGGGGATCCGGAGAAGGGTTTGGGGGTGCTGCAGACTCCCTCCCTGGCCGGCAGAACTCCCTTTTCCCAGGACGGTGCAGCGGCGGTCCGTAATGGCCGCCACAAAGAAGCTGGCAGCCGGGTAAGAATGCGCAGGAGGAAGTGGAGAAAGTGATTGAGAGGAGAAAGTTTTTCTTGGCTCCTAGGACTCTAAGACATATTTAATAAAATTCCTGAAAAGTATGATTCTCTGAATAATACCTGCCAGAAGAGGAAAAAAGCGGCTGCTTGAAGGTGCTGAAAGGATAGCTTTCCCTCTTTTCCTACGGAATAAATAACTGGATATTAAGAAACCTATTTTTTTAGGTGGAAATTGGTTTTAAGCGATGAGTGGGAAGAGAGAGGATTAAGAAGAAAATATTTGTATGCTAAGATTTGTTGGAGCAGATGCCTTAAGGATTTGAAGACTAGAATATATTGTAATAAGATTTTAAACAGAATTGGACTTTCTTTCTCTTTGATTGATATTACCCCAGAAGGAGAAAGTGAGAACTCTGCCTTGGTTTGGACTGATTGATAACTTTGGGACTGTTTTATCTTTTTTATTTTCTTTTGAATATTCTGGTTGTTGTAAGAAGAAAGAAGAAGAAAAGAAGAGAAAAGATTTATAATGGCTCTTTCTGTTGAGGAACTAAGAAAAGAATATGAACAAGCAAAAAAAAATGGTAAAGATGGTGTGGAAGAAGCTTTCCTTTTCTTAGAAATGGCGCTTACTAATTATCAACAAAAATTACAACAGATGAAGACAGCAGAGGAACAAGAAAGAAAGGAAGGAGCCATCTTTAATGAATCTCAGAATTTGATCCAGAAAGAAGGAAGAGAGAAAGAAGAGAAAAGAAGAGAAAAGAAGAAAACTAAAGGATTTAAGGACTTAAGATCCAAAAAAACATTTAAGAAAGGGAAAAATAAAGTGCAAAACCAATATGATGATTGTAAACAAAGGGGAAAAGAAATACGACAGAGAAGGGAAGCCGGTAAGGCAGAGGCTAGAAGAAGGGGGGGTAGAAAGGTTTGTTGGGAAAAGAAAGAAAGGGAAAAGGTGGAGAAAAGCTACAACGTTTTGAAATTAAATGGAAAAAAGGAATTTTTTATGGATAATGGATAAAGTATAATTTTTTTTTTTTTTAAAAAAAGATTTTGCAAGGTACATAAGATGAGATGGTAGTATTGTAATGGTTTAAGAGTTGATAAGAGATTAAAATGTTAAAATGTTTAAAAATGATTGGCTTTAAAACTTAATAATAGGAGAGGTTTAGAATATTGTTTTAATTAAAGAGTTTAATAAAATTATGGTATTGATGTTATTATAAAATTTTTATTATAGTATTTCTTTTTAATATTTGGATTTATTGTCTAATTATGCACTTAATTGTGTTGGATGTATTAGTTAGATAGAATGTACCAAGCAAAATCTGATTGGGTATTAGATATTATTTTAAAGATTAATTTGGTTAACTTAGGGGGGGAGATAGAAAGGCATCATACTCTGATTAATGATTTCAGGAGAAACTGATTTTCTTTTTTTTCATAAGATATGAGACAAAGGGATGATAAAAAATGGACAAAAGATACAAGTATAATGATTTAAACTAAGATGATTAATTAAGGTAGAATTAAGAAGTGTGAAATATGTGGAGAAGTTAATATAGAAGGTTTAGAATGGTAAATAAAATAAGTAATGATATGTAAGATGAGCATGAATATAATTGAAGTCCATGAAGAGAGAGATACCTGGGCCCAAGTTACTTTCCAAAAAGATTTTTTTTTATGTTTTGTGTGTTGTGTGTATATGTCTTTTTTGGGGGGAGAATTGGTAAAAACTTGTAGAAATATAGAATGAGAATAATGGTAACTAAGTCAGAAAGAATCAGATGAAATAATAATAATGATATTGAATAAGAGTAAAGAGAAGTAAAGAGAAATTGAATAAGAGGTTTTGGTATATTATATGGAAATGGTTTAAAACAGAATCATAATTTATCTGACTTGTTAAATTTACAATGGAAAAAGGTTTAAACATGTAATGAATAATGATAATTTGTGTGTTTTAAAAATTAATAAAACTTGTTTAAAAAAAAAAAAAAAATAATTTTTATCCCAAGGTTGCTTTTTTAAAAAACAATTGAACTTTCTTTTTTCCTTGAAGACATTTTACTTCTCATCCAAGAAGCTTATTCATTTCTGACTGATTGGCTTCTGACTGATTGGCTTCATTCAGAATTGAAGAAGATTCTTGGATGAGAAGCAAAACGTCTTCAAGGAAAAACAAGGAAAGTCTAGACGCTTTTTGAAACAGCACTTTTGGGAAATATTTAATGCTGCAATCAACCAATTCATTTAAATAGCATAAGGATCAATAAATTTCTCTGATTTGCATTCTTCTTCTCTTCCTGCTGTTTTTTTCCTGCTGTTTCAATTCTTTTTCCTTCCTATTCTACCTGGAGAGTAAAAATGTCATATAAAATTTTTGAGATAGCTGTATAACTAAAAGAATGTAGAAAATGAACACTGCATTATATAATGAATTTCATTTTAAATTATTTTGAGAAAAATAAACTTATAAAATGTAGGATGTTATTATTTTTTCATGCTTAAAACCTATCATGGTTCTGTGAAACAGTTTTATTTGTTCTTTCCCCCCAGACTTAGATGATTGTTTCCCATGTCAAGAGGATCAACATCCAAACAAGGGTCGAGATAATTGTCTTCCAAAAACTGTAACTTATTTGACTTTCCAAGAGCCATTGGGTATGTCTTTGGTAATGACTGCAGTCTCCTTTTCTGTCGTCTCAGCTGCGGTACTAGGAATCTTCATTAAAAACCAAAATACTCCCATTGTCAAAGCCAACAACAAGAACCTCACCTACGTTCTTCTCGTTGCTCTCCTGCTCTCCTTCCCTTGTACTCTGCTCTTCATTGGGCAACCTGGTTTAGTGAAATGTTTGTTGCGACAAACTACATTTGGCATCACTTTCTCTACAGCTCTTTCTTGTATTTTGGGTAAAACAACCATAGTAGTTCTTGCTTTCATGGCCACAAAGCCAGGCTCCAAAATGAGGAAATGGGTGGGGAGAAGGATGGCCAACATTATTGTCCTATCTGTCTTCATGGCTCAGTTCACCATCTGTGTAGTGTGGTTGGCAATGTCTCCCCCATTTCCAGATTCAGACATGCACTCCATGGTTGAAGAAATTGTCCTGGAATGTAATGAAGGTTCAACTGCAATGTTTTATACTGTCCTTAGCTTTATGGGGCTCTTGACCACTGTCACCTTCACTGTAGCCTTCTTCGCTAGGAATTTACCTGACAGCTTCAATGAAGCCAAATTCATCACCTTCAGCATGTTGGTCTTTTGCAGTGTGTGGGTATCATTTGTTCCCACTTATTTGAGCACCAAGGGGAAATATGTGGTTGCAGTGGAGATCTTCTCCATTTTGGCTTCAGCAGCTGGATTACTGGGCTGCATCTTTTTTCCTAAGTGCTATATCATTATTCTGAGACCTGATTTGAATAAGAAGGAACAACTAATGAAAAAATAAAACTGATATTTATATCAGATCCCTTGGATGATGCCTAATTATTTACATTCATCTATAGAGGGACACATATGTTTCAGTTTCAGTCAGTGTATGACAGTATGAGAGATGATGTAGCATGTTTTTTTAAGACTAGTGTAGAGTAAAATACGGTAGAGCAGAATAGAGTAGAGTAAAATAGAATTATTTATTGGCTATGTGTGAGTCAACACACAAGTTTTATTGTTAAATTATTTTGAATTTAATGTTAACTTTATTGATTATGTTATACACTACTCAGTGGTTCTCTCTGAGGGAGATTGGAGGATTAGTAATACCAAATAGAAATTAAGAAATCAGCATTGGTCTTGCTCTATATGAAGATTCCCATGAAAGCGAGAGGGCCAAAGAACTTAGAGAGTCGCGGGAACGTGAACATACAGATAATTCATATGACTGCAATTTCTCATTCAATGCACCAAATGTGTTTTGCCTTCTTCTTCTGTGCATATAACCCCCCACTCCACCATTTTCTACTTTGTGCCTTAGTTCCAAAGGTTCATAGTATTGTTCCAGTGAGTACTTAGATATACTAAACATGTTTTCTTCTGATATTTTTCAAAATCAGAATATCCTTCTGATATTTGTCAAAGACAGTCCTATTGGAAAAATAATAGTCCTGATTACTAATTAAGTATATTCAACGTCTCTTCTACTCCATGTCTCAAGGGAATTTCAGTAGACACTGACAAAACTATGATCCTACATTAAGACATTGCATAGCATTAAAATCTGCTCAGAAATACGGAACTGCACACAGAAAGAAAAAGATTTTGCATTTGATCTGTGATACATCCTTGTCTTAATTCCATATAATCTTCATTGTATTATCTTGTGATGATGTAATGACTGCCAGCCCACATCCTTGGTTAAATGGTAACATAGAAGTTGCACTTTAATGTCTATAATGACAGTATATTACAGTGATTTGGTTATATTCTGGACCCTAGTTTTATCTTTTTTTGTTACCGTGCTCATTTCTCCTATTCACAATTGCAAGCTCAGTAGTCCTCTTCCAGTCATTCACAAGTATTATCAGTCTGGGGATTTAATCGTTGCTGCAATTATTTATCAAGTCTTCTTTCTTTCAAATGAGATCACTTTCCAAAGCCTTCCTTCTCATGAGTACTTGATCAGTACATGTAAGTATCCCCTTGTTATTGCTCCTCCAGCTCTTCCTCTTATTTTCCTTATTTCTACCTGTACTGTATTATCTATGTTCAGGGATGGCATTCAAATTTTTTAACAACTGGTTCTGTGGGCATGGCTTAGGTGGTGGGCGCAGCTTGGTGGTCATGTGACTGGGTGGACATGGCTTGGTGGTCATGTTATTGGCTGGGTGTGGCCAATTCAATATCACTCACATTGAGGCACGCGTCTCCTCGCCTGGCCCTCATGACTATGGGGATGCTGCAACAGTCGTAAGTGTGAAAAATGGTCATAAGTCACTTTTTTCAGTGCCATTGTAACTTTGAATGGTTACTCCACACAAGCAAAGTACCAGCAAAAGAAGGGGGGGAAAACTTCAGAGATTTTGTCCAATGTGAGCCTCGGTTTCCACATCGCTACCAACTATCTTGAGGATTATACAATTTACATTCTAGCAATGGAATTTCTCTTTACAAAGGATAAATGTATCCCAAATTACAAATGTAATGACCAGACAAATATGGTAGCCATCATGGGAGGACCCCAGACTAAAACCTGTCTCAATATGGCAACCACTCTGTGCAACTGTAAATTTCCCCAGGTGAGAAAAATATGGAGCAAGATGGAAAGTCCACAAGTTTATTATTTTCAGATTTTGAGTCCTGATAATCACTCTTATGAAATGGATTCTGTAAGAAAAAAATATGTGTAATTTAATGAGGAGGAAGTTAGTAGATATGAAGATTATCAACAAAGGGCTCTCCTTTTTGCTTGATGAGCAGTACTAAATTTGCAGACATTATTTGGTAAAAAATTAGTTTTTAGGATCTTTCCTTGGATATCCACTCAAGCCTAGTTATTTAGTACATACTGATATATGCATAAGTCCTTCATTTTTTTCCTAGAAAACTCCCTTTTAAATAGGTTCTTCTGTCTTTCCCCCATGTAGATCATTTGGATCAATACCCTTGATGTATAATGACAACTTAGCATTTTTCATAAAATGGATGTTCCCTGACAAGATCCACCAGCTTAAAGGAATCCTGTACTTATTGTTGCATTTTGGATGGACCCGGGTTGGGATGATTTCTTTGTATGAAGAAGATATGGAGAGATTTGTTCAAAAGAGTCTTTCCATGTTTTCAGATAGAGGAATCTGCTTTGACTTTATAGAATGTCTTCCCAAATAATGTATGGTAATGAAGCTGCTGAACTGGTGGAGGAAACAGATAAAATATATAGAATGATCATAGGGAGTACAGTCATTGCCGTGACTGTCCATATATAGTTGTGCCCTAAAGAAAATAGAATTCCTTTTTGTTTGTGTTTGAGAACTAGTATATCATTTTTATGAAGAATATCTCTATGTATTGAGCCCTTGCTGAGCTGCCATATAATGGACAATTGACTAGGACATCTGAAGTAGTCAGGTATCTTTAACTACATTAGTAAAATAATGACACTCTAGAAATGCTCATAGCTTAATGGAAAAAATCCATTTGTTGCAACAGAGTGAGACTATTTTTAAAATGGCATGAACATGGTTTTTGGTTAAATCTCCCTACATTTGAATTTATATTTGCCTCCCCGAAAGAAATTAAACATGGAGCATAAAGTTTTTGTTTTAGCATAGAGTTTCTGCCGGAGATACTATTCATCTGCCTAACCAGCTAACTCAGGAATCTTCAAACTTGACAGCTTTAACACTTGTGGACTTCAACTCCCAGAATTCCTCCTCCATTCATGTTAGCTCAGGAATTCTGGGAATTGAAGTCCACAAGTCTTAAACTTGCCAAGTTTGAAGTCTCTTTAGCTAACTAGTTATGCTAGTCCAAGTGAAATGATATGATTGCACACAAAGCAAAAAAATCACCCTTTCACTGTAGATAGCATTTATGTGTTGTTGGGAAGGGTGTAAATTTAACAAATAAAATAAATAAAAATAATTAAAAGAGGGGTATGCATTCTTCCTTCATATCACTATATGAAAGTGACATATAAGGCATTAACTTGGTGTCTCTCTCTCTCTCTGTGTGTGTGTGTGTGTGTGTGTGTGTGTGTGTGTGTACACCTATATTTAAGTTGAAGTCAGTCTATGACAGCGTGAGAGATGATGTAGCATGATTTTTAACATTAGAGTAGAGTAGAGTAGAGTAGAATTATTTATTGGCTATGTGTGATTGGACAGGTAGAGACATTGAAAGCCACATATGAAGGTAATATGGAAAACAATAGTTGTGACAATCTCTTCAAAATTTATTTCAGAATGTAGATTCTCCGCATCTTTTCTTTGGTTACTATTTTCAGCCCTATACTGATTTGAAAATCATTTTTTTAAGATGAAGAAAAATATTCATTTCAATATTAATAATGGTGTCTGAAAAGTTAATGTCCAAAGGGTTGGTTAAATATTTCTGTCTTAGCTTAATACTTAATACTTAAATCTCCATTAGATTGTTATTTATTGTTGTTTATAAATGGCAGACGAAGAAAAAAGAAAAAAGAAAGAAAATAAAAAATAAAAAGCAGTTGCTTGTAAAGTAGATCTGTATTTGATTTTAACTTCCACTTGTTGATTTATTTGTTAATTTTTTTATAACCCAAGACATCTTATAGCACCCTTGGCAACGTATATAATAAAGCAGCCCAGATACATTTAAAAAAAATATTAAAATAAAAGCAATGGGGCAAGCTACACCTTGAGAGCAAAAATGATTCCTAAGATAAAGCCAGTGTCGTGCCCCTGTCAAAGTCTGAATCCGAGGAAGAACCTGAACAGCTGACAGGGAGTGGGTGTGTGGCTCCATTGGCTGTGGAGGAAACTGGGAAATGGCAAAGTCCGGCTGGGCAGAGCAGGGAGAGGTAGAACAAGGGAGAAGGAATTCAGAGGAGCCGCAGTTAATGAAAAAGGCAAGCTGCAAGTGGCAGGCTGTTGGAAGCAAACATGACTTTATCTTGTGTTGTCATGGCTTATCTGTGATCCTGGCATCTTTCCAACTGTGTGAGTTTTGCCGTGCTTTCAAGTCTGAAATTCTTGCTCCCTGCTGTGCCAAATTAATTACTTCAGTTTGGCTTGTTTGGACTTTAAGTTACAGTTTGCGTTTGCCCTGTTTTGGACTTAATTTTCTGCAGTCAAAGGCTGTTCCTGGGAAAGTTTTTCTCCAGCCAGAAGGTAACCTAGGCATTGGAAGCAAAGTTGGAGATTATTATTGATTATATGACTGTGCTGCCTTTGTGCCACTCCCTGGGTCATCACAGCCAGGGCAGAAAGTGCTTTCATGCTAGATCCTACCTATGTCCAGGCTTTTGGGATATGCGATTATTAATATACCTCTTCTGCCTGGCATCTCACTAATAAAGGGGTATCAAACTCAAGGCTGGATCAAGTGAATGACTGACTCACAGTGCTATTGCCAGTGAAAATGGGCTCCCTACTCCGTTTTCACTTTCAGAGTGTTTCAGGAGGCTGTGGCAGCCAAAAATTCAAAAAATGGAATTCAGCAGCCCATTTTCACTGGCAGAGTGCTTGGGTCACCACAGGCATCCCCAACAGGTGTGATGTTGAACTGCCCATGCCCACTTTGGCCATGTCCCATCCCTGAGGTCAAACATAACCCTGATGCGGTCCTCAATGAAATCAAGTTTGACAAGCTCTAGTACATTATAGAAGCAACAGTATGTAGATAGGTAGGAAAAAATAAGAGATAACCCTTGTTTTTACTCCAACCATGAAGCACACTAAAAAATTATCATTCCTTGAATTTGGTAAAAATTCTGTTGTTAAGACATGGAACTCTACTGTGGTTGCTGCAGTGTCCAGAGAACAAGATAGATCAGAAGGAGCACTCAATCATTTTTCTACCTACTCCTTGGAAGAGAATAAATTCACAATAACAGGCTCAATCTCAATTTCTGAGCTCCACTTCCTATTAAATCTATCCTGCTTTCAGTACAATGTCCTTCTAGAGCTTAGGTAATTGTTACAGTATCACTTTACAAGGTACATCCTGTATTTAGCAAAGGAGAGAATACTATAACCTAAAAAGACGTGTTTCTTTTTTTTTTCTAATTGTATTTTGCCTTCTTCTTCTGTGCACATAATCTCCCACTCCACCATTTTCTACTTTGTGCATTAGTTCCAAAGGTTAATAGCAATGTTCCAGTGAGTACTGAGATATAGTAAACATGTTTGCTTCTAATATTTTTCAAAGACAGTACTATTGGAAAAATAATAATCCTGATTACTAATTAAGTATAGTCAGTGTCCCTTCTACTCCATCTCTCAAGGGAATTTAAGTAGACACTGACAAAACTATGATCCTACATTAAGACATTGCATAGCATTAAAATCTGCTCCGAAATACAGAACTGCACACAGGAAGAAAAAGAAGGTTTTGAATTTGATCTGTGATACATCCTTGTCTTAATTCCATATAATTTTCATTGTATTATCTTGTGATGATGTAAATGAGTGCCAACCCACATCCTTGGTTAAATGGTAACATAGAAGTTGTACTTTAATGTCTATAATGACAGTATATTACAGTGATTTGGTTATATTCGGGACCCTAGTTTTTTTTGCTACCATGCTCATTTCTCCTATTTACAATTGCAAGCTCAGTAGACCTCTTCCAGTTGTTCACAAGTATTATCAGTCTGGGGACTTAATCATTGCTGCAATTATTTATCAAGTCTTCTTTCTTTCAAATGAGATCACTTTCCAAAGCCTTCCTTCTCATGAAGTACTTGATCAGTACATGTAAGTATCCCCTTGTTATTGCTCCTCCAGCTCCTCCTCTTATTTTCCTTATTTCTACCTGTACTGTATTATCTATGTTCCATTTTTCTGTCGAAACATTATGCTAATTCAGCATGCTAATTCTAATGTCTATGGTTAGCCATTTTAATTCCAGAACTAGGAGAAAATCAGCTTGTCCAGTTACTGGAGATTAAACTGAGACAATTCAACTTTCTAGGGCACTTGACAAATTTAAAACATGGAGATGCCCTCAATATAATCCTGAGCTCTTTAACATTTCATCTCAACCAATAATTAAAACAGTAAGCCCTTCAATGTGTTTGAGAAACTTTTCCAGTTTTTACAATTCTATGGTGGAAAAATGGAACTGACTTCTGGCTCTTTAAAAAAATACAGGCAAAATGTTGATAAAACTGAAATCAAATGCACCTTGGCATCCAAATTAATCCTGGAATATATATTTTATCATGCATTTTACAGTTTGCCAAAAGAAGTATCTAAAATATGGAAGAAAGCAGGCTGCAAAACTTTCTCAGTTCAAAGTTAGCTTATCTCCCCTTCTCATCAGTTATTCGCTATACAATCTAGTGCAATTGTTCATTAAGGACAAGGCTTCAAACATCAAAATACATAAGCACTACATCTATAACATTAAAGATATCAACTTTTTGAATCTGAAGCAGAAATATTTGATGTCATTTGTAACTCCCAATGAAGGTTCCTCACTCATAATTATCAACATGCTTTGGCTCTGGCATTTGCTGTAAAGGAGATCAATGAACGTTCTGGGATTTTGTCCAATGTTAGCCTTGGTTTTCACATTGCTACCAATTATCTTGAGGAATATACAACTTATCGTTTAGCAATGGAATTTTTATCTGCTAAAGATAAATTTATCCCCAACTACAAATGTAATGACCAGACCAATAGTGTAGCTGTCATTGGAGGACCCCAGACTAAAACCTGTCTCAACATGGCAATCAGCCTGTGCAACTACAAATTTCCCCAGGTGAGAAGAAATGTGGAGCTAATTATTCTTTTCAGATGTTGGGTCCTCAAAATAATTCTTAAGAGAAAGATTCCGGAGGCAATTCGTCATAATGACAAGAATATCACGAAAGGCCCTTCACTTTTTTCCTTCATGACCAGTATTGAATGTGCAGATGTCCATAACTCAGTGTGTATTTTATAACACAGAGAAGCCTCTTTCTGTATCCCACTCAAACCCAAGTATTATGTTAAGTTAAAAAAATGCATTCTTCCTTTATTTTTTAAAAAGTCTATTTCCTTTTTTCCTATGTTTATCCATATTTCCCCAATTAGATCACATATGGATCGGCACCTTTGATGAGTAATGACCAAGCAGGAATTTTTGTCAAATGGATGTTCCCTGATGAGATCCACCAACTTAATGGAGTGCTACACTTACTATTGCATTTTGGATGGACCTGGGTTGGGATGATTTCTCTGTATGAAGAAGATATGGAGAGATTTGTTCAAAAGAGTCTTTCCATGTTTTTAGAGAGAGGAATCTGCTTTGACTTTATGGAACATATTCCCAAAATGATGTATGGTAGTGAAGCTGCTGAAATGATGGAGGAAGCAGATAAATTATATAGAGTGATCATGTGGAGTACAGTCATTGCAGTGATCTTTAATGCTGAAATTACAAGCATAGTGACATTGAGGATAATGCTCTCTGTTTTAGATTCTGATGATATTCCAACGGAAAGAAAAGCCAAAGTTTGGGTCATGACAGCTCAAATGGAATTCACCTCTATTCTAATGCAAAGACCGTTGCCTATTGATTTTCTCCATGGTGCAATTTCCTTTGCGCTTCACTCAAAGAAGCTGACAGGATTTCAACAATTTATGCAGAAGAAAAACCCAAACCTAGAAAAAGATGATGGATTTATTAGGGATTTCTGGAAAGATGCATTTGAATGCTCATTTTCCAGTGATATTACAGATGAGAATGCTGAAAGGATCTGCACTGGAGAAGAAAAGCTGGAGACTCTTCCTAATTCTGTCTTTGAGACCACAATGGGTGGACATAGTTACAGCATCTACAATGCAGTCTATGCTGTGGCACATGCTCTGAGGGACTTGTATGCCTCCAAACTCAAGGACAGTCGGAAAATTGATAAGAAGAGCTGGAAGTACTTCCTTCAGTCTCCATGGCAGGTAATGTTTACTAATCCAAATCAGGAAGATTATCAGATCATGTGAAAAAAAAATTGGCTTATATTTTTTTTTCTCTTTCCTTTTGAAAGTGTCTTTATTTATTTATATTTCATAATTCTAAACTGTTCGCCTCCCTCCCTTTACAGATATTTGAATGTTCATGGCATTCCCTTATGCAAAAACTAAAAAAAAAAAATCTATTATCTTTTTCTAATATTATCTGAATAGTCTAGACAAATAGGGGCATTTATGCAAAATTGGATGCAATTTGAAAATAAACATAAGGTTTTGAAAAAGTCTGAAAAAAACACTGACATATGAACTTTATTTTATGTATGAAATGCTAGGCAAAGTATCATATTCAATTTACTATATTTAACAGTTTCACATGTAAAAACTTTGTCAATGATTAGAATGAAGAAAACTTCAAGGTTTCAAGTTAATTTGTTTTCAATTCTATTTTATTTTTTCCCTAATTGATAACTGTTGAGGTGGAACAGAAGGCTGTTTTGGCCTAGAAATTTCTATATTGGAGTTTTTAATAGTGTCTAAATCGTATGCCAGCAAAGTAAATGTATAAATCCTAACATTCCAGGTTGATCAAAGCAAGTTAATATGTCATTCTGCTTCCTTTTCAATGTTATGCTGGAATTTTCATATAACACTTTTTCAGGTGAAAACAGACAACAGAATAAAAAATCTATGTGATAGAGAAAATGTTTCTTTTTAAATTATAAACAGTGTAGTTTGGTGGAAAAAAATGACTTACCATTGGGCATAAACCATACTGAAGGAAGTGAGAGTTCTCCATATGATTCAAGGAATCCAGTTAATATTTATATTTCTTTGTTTTGTTTTTGTTTTTTTCATTCAGCTCCATCATTTTCTGCATCAAGTCTCTTTTAACAACAGTGCTGGAGAACACGTTTCTTTTGGCCCCAATGGAGAATTGGAAACTGGGTTTGATGTTTTCAATTGGGTCACATTTCCTAACAAGTCCTTTCTGAAAGTGCAAATTGGAAAGATCAACCCCCTGGCTCCCCCAGAAAAGCTCCTTACCATTTCTGCCAAGAATGCTGTTTGGCCCTTCATATTTAACCAGGTGCGTCTTAATTTTCACTTTTTAGGAAATCATGTATTCTTTGACCCACAGAGGTAAATAATTAAATAACAATCACAATCAAACTCAAATTAACAGCCTCAATATTTTTTGTTTGATGCATATGAACATAAACTACTAAAGATGGCTTAAAAGTCTAAATGCCTATAGCATTTATTTGTTCCAGTACAAAATCACCCCAAACCAAAGTAGTAATCTCTACTAATTACTCAGTGGGTCATATTATTAAAATGAGGATCAGCCACAATAAAATACAATAAAATTAGAGAAGATAAAACAGTAAAATAAAATGGGATATGGTAAAAAATAATGCAAAGATATATAATGAAATGAATCCTAGAGATAGGAAACAGTAGGCACTTAAGTGAATTAATTACTTTTAAATATAAACTCAATGTGTGGTATATAAGATATCCTATCAACTTAACAGTTCAAGTGACTAGATATATATCCGGGTCCTGGACAAAATAAAATTATTTTTTGTTTGTTTCTTTGAGAACTAGTATACCATTTTTGTGAAACAATATGTATTGAGCCCTTGCTGAGCTGCCATATAATGGAGAATTGATTAGGATATCTGAAGTAGTCAGGTATCTTTAACTATAAATAATGACACTCTAGAAATGCTCATAGCTTAATGGAAAGAAACCATTTGTGGCAACAGAGTGAAATTATTTTTAAAATGGCATGAACATGGTGTTTGGTGAAATCTCCTTAAATTTAAATTTATATTTGCCTCCTTGAAAGAAATTAAACAGGGTGCAGAAAGTCTTTGTTTTAGCACAGACTTTCTGTTGGAGATACTATATCTGCCAAACCAGCTAACTAGTTATGGTAGTCCAAGTGAAGGAATATGATTGCATGCTAAGCAGAAAAACTATCCTTTCACTGTTGACGGCATTTATGTGCTGCTGGGCAGCGTGTAAATTTAACAAATAAAATAAATAAAAATAACTAAAAGGGGGGAAGGAGATATTATTTTTATAAAAATTATATAATCTATATGAATAAAAGAGGAAAACAATATGACCCAGAAAACTGCTTTGTGATTGGACTGCAGGTTTCTAAGAGGGAATTTGATTTATAAGTGGCATCATGCATAGTTCAACTTAATAATTGCATATAAATATTTTTCCAAATTGTTGACTTATGGACAAAAAAGATTGAGGGTTAGGGCTATCATTAAGTTAATAAGCATTTTTGTGGCAACAGTTGAATGAGGGAATTACCAGCAAATAGTTAATAGTTAGTCCTGCCACAACCACAAAGCCAGCTGAATGATTTGGGGATAGTCATCTTCTCACTCTAGAAAGGAGGAAATAACAAATCCCTTCTGGAAAACCTTGCAAGAAAGTTAAAAAACTCAGAATTGGGCACATTTCAGTGGAAACAAGAAAAAAAAAAAGAAAGAGTTAAGCAAGTGTTTCTTCAATCCAGCAATTTTATGAAGTGTGGATTTCAACTCCCAACTTCAGGATGCTGGTTGGGAAACTAACAGAATAACTTGGGAGGTATTCTAGTCCAACCCCCTCTACTCAGGAAACCCTACACCAGTTCAGACAAATGGTTGTCCAATCTCTTCTTTAAAATGTCCCATGTTGGAGGATCCAGAATTTCTAGGCAAGCCATTCCACCAATTAATTGTCAGGAAATTTCTCCTAAATTCTAAGTTGGTTCTCTCCTTAATTAGATTATAGAATACTTTATTGGCCAAGTGTGATTGGACATGCAGGGAATTTGTTTTGGTGTAAATATTCTCAGTATACATAAAAGAAAAGATACACTCATCAAGAGTCAAGATATAATTAGTTTCCATCCATTGCTTCTTATCCTGCCTTCAGGTGCTTTGGAGAATAGGTTGAATGCCTCTTCTTTGTGGAAGGCCCTAAGATATTGGAAGATTGGTTGCAACTGTTCTTCATATGTTTTAGCCTCCAACTCCTAATCATCTTTGTTTCTCTTCTCTGCACTCTTTCTATACTCTGCACACCTTTTTATATTGTGACAACCAAAATTGAATGTAATATTCCTTTTTTACAAAAAATATTTTATTTAGTACAAAAGATTAAAATATACAAATATACAAAAATAAAATAATAATAATCATACAAATAGACATCTGCACAAATCATATTTCTCTCTAATACATTTGATAATGATTTAAGTAACTCATAACTGATATTGAATGGCAAATATTCCTTATCCCTTGTAAACTAAATAATATCTATATTATATATTATATAATAGTCTATTGTTATTATTGGATTATAACTGTGTTATTTTGTAAATAAATCCTTTATATAACTTATTCAATAAGAAAGAGAAATAAAACTAATATTTTATAAATTCCTGTCATTAGACTTATATGTAGTAATATGTTTCCTGGGTTCATTTATTTTATATATTCTTTTCTTACGGTCTATCAATTTATCCATATAGAATAATATTCAGCATCATCTTTCCCTTTTAGTTTTAGTGTGAGCCTTTCCATTTCAGCACATTCATAAATTTTATGAATAATAATGTGTATAGGTGATAATCTGGGCATTTTCCAATATTGTGCCATTGAGATTCGTGCTGCTGTTAGTATATGAATAATCAAGTACTTTACTTTGAGAGGGCACTCCCCTTTGATTATACCCAGAAGGTACAATTCAGGTTTCCACTCCAATCCGCTTTGGGTAATTTCCTCTATCCATATTTTAATCCTTATCCAAAAAAATTTAACCTCTGGACATGTCCACCAAAGGTACCATGTTCTTTTTTTACATTTCCAACAGCTTGGGTTTGCTGCTGGATATATTTTTGCTAGTCTAGAGGGTACCAGATGCCATCTATATATCTTTTTATATAAATTTTCTTTATAGGATACTGATTTTGTTAAGAAGAGATTCCTTTGCCAAATTTCTTCCCAATCATCTAGATCTATATTATGGCTGAATTTTTTTTGCCCGTGCTAACATTGGTCCTTTCACAATTTCCTCAGCCAATTCATATTCTAATAGGTAATGGTATAATTTAGATATATATTTTTCTGGGCCCAAAAGTATTTTATCGAATTGAGTGTTTTTTGTTTCTAGTCTGAACTATTTTAAATCCCTATCATATCTCATTGCTATTTGGAAATAGGACCAATGATCAATAATTATTTCATGGGTTTCTATTTCTTGAATTGATTTAAGCTTTTCTTCATTTATCTAAAATTTGGTGGTATTTAAGCTTTTTACTGATATCCATTGTGTTGGGATGAAACATTGCCTCCATTGTTGATAACCATTTTGGAATTTTAGTGTAATGATTCCTCCTAATAACTGTCCATATTTTAATCAGAGATTTACACAGAGTATGTCTATAAAAATATGAATGGTTTTTACTGTTTGGGTTCCACAGAAATGTGTGCCATCCTATTTATATATCATAGCCCTCTAATGTTAAAATTATTTTATTTTCCAATTTGAACCAATCCTTTATCCACATGAGCGCTGTCTCTCTATACTGGGTCTCCCAGGTGGGAAGTCCAAAGCAACCTCTGCTTTTATTGTCTTGTAGATAAATTCTTTTAATTCTTGTTTTTTTACCTGCCCAAATAAATTTCATAATAATTTTGTCCAGTTCTTTAAAAAATTATCTAATAATATTGGGACCATTTGAAATAAGTATAACAGTTTGGGTAGAACATTCATCTTGATCGTAGCTATTCTACCTAATAATGAGATTTCCATTTTGCTCCAATTTTCCAGATCCCTTCCAATTTGTTGTAATATTTTGGTATAATTGTCTTCCTTCAGAGCTGAAGTTCTAGGTCTTAACCAAATGCCTAAATATTTAATCTTGTTTACAATGTGTAATCCCATTGTTTTCTCTAATTCTTTTTGTCTGTTATTTGTTAAGTTTTTAACTAACATTTTAGTCTTTTCTTTATTGATTTTCAACCCCGCTAATTTACCAAATTTATCAATTTTGTTCAATAATATTGGCCCTGAATCTATTGGCTCTTCTATGATAAATACCATATCGTCCACAAATGCTTATAATTTATATTCTTGATTTTTTATTTTTGTTCTCTTAATTTCTTTATTCAATCTAATTCTATCCAATAGTGTTTCTAATATTGTTATAAAAAGCAGAGGTGATTGTGGGCATCCCTGCCTGACACCTTTTTTTAATCTCAAATGATTTAGTAACTTATCATTACACTTGCCTTCTTTGTGGCGTAAATTGAATTTAACATTTTTGCAAAATTACCACCAAATTCCATCAAATTGATCTGATATTTCATAAAATCATAACTGATATTTCATAAAATCCCAATTAATATTAATATTAATATTAATATTGTTATAAAAAGCAGAGGCGATAGTGGGCATCCCTGCCTGACACCTTTTTTTAATCTCAAATTCTAATATGTCAGGACTTCCGGTTTGTGAGGCTTCGGCAGCGGCAGGGATTTGTGATCCAGCACGATCCCTGCCGAGCTCACTGCCAAGGTTCCCCCGATCCGTTTGGATCTGGGGGATATAGCTGCCCTGCAGGGTAGCTGAAGACAGGGGGGATCTGGAAAGGGGGCAAGGGGTGTTGCAGACCCCCTCCCCAGCCAGCAAAACCCCCTTTTTCTGAGGCAGAGGAGCGGTGGTCAGCAATGGCCGCCATGAAGAAACCTGCTAACGGATAAGATTGTGCAGGAGGAAGAAAATCGGAGAAATTGTGAGAGTTGTTTCTGGACCGGGATAAAGCTTCCAAGGGATAAGAAAGTTTCCTGGGGCTTGAAAATTGCTACGGAGAAGTTGCTACATTGTTTCCAGAGAGAGTTACAAGCGGCGCACAGAATTTTAAAAGGGAAAGTTTTTTTTTTCTTCACTCTCCTTCCTAACGTGACAGCGGATGGAATAACAAGAGAAATCTGAAAATCTAGGTAATTAAATACTGAAGAGATAAGGATTTCTGAATGATTTTTTTTTAAAAAAGACTTTAAAGATTTTTTG